AGAATATCACCTTCTCAAAATCAAGGAGAGGAAAGATGTCTAAAGAGGTAAGTGGCATATCATGATAGCTTCTGTCTGGTGGGCCTTTCCCTGTCCAGAAGGCATGGCTGAGAGACTAAGCAGTGCTTTGATGGCCTTAGTGTACTAGGAAGACAGGACTTGTACGGGTGGGACTTTGTAAATCCCACATACTTTGGTTTAGACTCCAAAAACAGGAAGCCTAAAGTAAAGTGGAATTAAAGCAGCTGTTACTGGGTTACAGCACAGCTTTGAGTCATCTAAGTCCCAGAAATTTTACTCCCTAAAATTGTATTTTTTAAAAATTTTTTATTTAAAATCAATTCATTTAACATATAGTGTATTATTAGTTTCAGGGGTAGAATTTAGTGATTCATTAGTTGCATATAACACCCAGTGTTCATTACATCAAGTCCAGCCTTAATGCCCCTCACCCAGTTACACCATCCCCACACCCGCCTCCCCTCCAGCAACCCTCAGTTTATTTCCTGTAGTTAAAAGTATCTTATGCTTTGTCTCCCTCTCTGATTTCATCTTATTTTTCCTCCCCTTCCCCTATGTTCATCTGTTTTGTTTCTTAAATTCCACATATGAGTAAAATCATCTGATATTTATTAAGATCATCCATATTGCCATTGCCTGGCCAAAGCATCAGAAAATCCTCACAATATCCTAGGCCTCAAATTATTTCCACATACATATTTTATTTTATTATTTTTAAAATTTTTTTTTAAAGATTTTATTTATTCATTCATGAGAGACAGAGAGAGAGGCAGAGGGAGAAGCAGGTTCCTAAGGAGCAGGGAGCCCGATGTGGGACTCAATCCTAGGACCCTGGGATCATGACCTGAGCTGAAGGCAGATGCTTAACCATCTGAGCCACCCAGGCGCCCTCCACATACATATTTTAAAATATAACTTCCATTATGCAAAAATAATCAGAAACATGAAGATATAAGACATCATAAAAAAGAATCAGCAGATCAGATAAGCCACAGAGGCCAGATATTAGAATTATCAAACAAAAACTCTTAATAATTGTTACTTTATGCTCAGTAAGATAAAGACAGAATACTAAAAATGTAAACATAATCTTGTTAAACATATATATAAATATATAACATTTCAATATAAAACTAGATGCTAAACAATTTGAAAATGAAATAAAGATAAATTCTATGGGATACCTGTATGGTTCAGTTGTTAAGCATCTGCCTTCAGATCAGGGGTCATGACCTGGGTCCTGATATTGAGCCTCACATCGGGCTCCCTGCTCCGCGGGAAGCCTGCTTCTCCTTCTCCCACTCCCCCTGCTTGTGTTCCCTCTCTCACTGCCTCTTTTTCTATCAAATATATTAGTAAATAAAAATCTAAAAAAAAAGAGAGAGAAAGAAACGGATAAATTCCAGAACTGAAAAATGTAATAAATAAAATTAAGAATCCTATGAACAGTTTTAATAGCAGATTTTATATAGCTAAAGAGAGACTTAGTGAACTGGATGTAAGCCAGAAGAAAATATCTAAAATGAAGAACGAAGGCCAAAAGGATGAGTGTATACAAAAGAGAGTATGAGATATACAGTGAGAAGTTCCAATTCATTAACTCTATTTATGGAGGAGACAGAATGGAAAGGAATAGTATTTGGATAGTTAATGGTTGATTTATTTCCTGAACTGAGGAAAGAGGTAACTTTGCAAATATACCAACCAAATAAATCTTAATACAGATATTAAAAAGGTATCATCTATAGCAGTGTGGCTCAAAACTTTGTGAAATGATGGAAATGTTCCATCTGCATAATTCAGTGTGGTTTACTGCTAGTCACATCAGGCTATTGAGCACCTGATATGTGGCTATGTAACTGAGGACTGGAATTTTCATTCTATTTGAGTTAATGAAATCTAAATTTAATAACCCCATATGGCAAGTGACTATTGTATTGGGGAGTGCAGATCTGGAGCATCATAATAAAACTACTGAAAAACAAAAACAAAGATAAAAATCTTTAAAGAAATCAAAGAAAACAGATAGAAAATAGATAATTATTCAATAGCTAACTTTTCTATATTAACAATGGAAACCAGAAGACAAACAAATGTGCCAAAAGAAAAAAAGCTGCAACCCTACAATTCTATACCTAGTAAAAATATCCATCAACATTGGAAGTAAATTCTGTTATATGCCTAGTTTAACCCATATTCCATTTTGGAAATAAATTTGTATACTGGCCTTGAAATTGTGAGAAACCAAGAGTTGTTTCTGGTGTACCTGTATTCTGAGAAGTGACCTTCTCAGTGTGGCTCCTTTGGCTTACCTAGGGGAGTCTGTCACTCTCTGTAAACATTTCTGTTGTAGGATTTATATAATTTTTTTTTTTGCATTTACTGGTTTTATGTTCATTTTTCTTACTTGAGTATGACTTCACTTCTCTGGGAAGTTTTGAACATAAGCACTAATAATTATATTTCAGGTGGTACCCAAAAAAGCATCATTTTATAATGAAAAGTTAGTAACAGTAAGATATATTTCACAGTCACTGGTCTGAGAAATACTGAAGCCAAACATCCAAAAATTTTAGAATATTTCCACATGTTATATTGTAAGTGATATCCAAAATTGTATTACTTTAGGACATAAAGATGTCCTAGGATAATTTATATATTAAACTAATTCATGTATTAAAGAAATTCAGTCACAGAAAGATCAAGTGACCAGCCTAAGATACCACAAAAACTAGATGCAAGACCAGAACCCAGTCTTCTAATCTCACATATGTTCTTCTATTTGTGACACCTGAGAATTAGGACTCTTTCTACTTGTCCTGGATCCAGAATCTCTGTCTCCTCTAAACTCTTGAGTTTATCAATTACCAACTCTAAAAAAAAGGGAAAAAATGAACTTCCAGTCTTCACAAGAGTATGAAAGAAACATCAATCTGAGAGGTCAGGGGAACTGGATACCTGGATTCTTATCTCAGTTTTGTTACCAGTGAGCCGGAAGTCTTGGAGAATATATCTCCCCTACCTTCCCTGGATCCATCTATTCCAAGAAGTAACATGTTTCACAGAGTAAGCTATATATATTGAGACAGGTATTTTAGGAGAGGTCTGAATTTAATTCTTACCCTTAAATACTACCACTGTATTTCAAATATTTTGAATTACTTTCTTTTCCTAACATCCACTTTCCTACGAGAAAGGAATAGACTTAAATGTCATAAAGAAATGTGAGTAACTTGTTCCTAATAGCCACCATTGACAAGTGGTTTTTAGTGTGTCTAGGGGTGAAAACAATAAAACCAGCTAAGCAAACAAACAACATATCTCTTCCATGTTGGCAGGCTGACGTGGTCTAAAGGATGGAGAACTACCATCAATGGAGGGAGAGCAAACATTGGGGATATGCATGTAAACCTGTAGGTTACACATCTATGTAGGTACATTTTATACTGTTCAACCAATTTTTGAATTGGACCATTTTTTTCAAGGTAAAAAAATAGCTTTATAAATATTAGATAATTATTAGTTCTGGTAAGCACTAGATCCAGGGGAAAAATAATAAAAATTCAACTCAAATATATTATCTCTGCATTTCCTCCTTACTCCCATATCCTCAGGCCAATCTGGCCAGGATTTCGATGCCTCTGGGCACAGAGCAGGTTGAACAGCTGTTTGACTCACTGCATTTGACTCCTTGTCATTTGGCAGATTGAAATCTCTGCTGAGAGCACCATTTGGAACTTTTCTTTCCCAAAACTGATATTTTTTGAACATGGGATTTGAAATACTGTGAGGCACTAGTATACATTCATAAAATAATACTGCCAAAGAGAGTGATTGATTTATGCAAAAAATCTAACTTTCCTGAAAAGTGTTTAAAAAGATAACCCTTGCCTGGCTGAGGTTCGCCTGATAGAATATGAATATGGGTTTACTGAAAATGTGAATATAAAAAATGATACTAGCTTCAGGTGTGTGGATGCGTGAGGAAGGACTATCAGATTTGAGTATAAATTGAGATGTATATAAGCAGGTAGGGCAAAAGTAGCCAGGCCAACCCACTGAAGGGAGACAAATTAGGGAAATACTGGAGTATCCAAGAGAATCACTAAGTCAAGGTTTGGGATTTGAGAGGAGTACTGACTCCTACTACTACTAAAAATAATGGTTATTATTGTTATTATTTATTTAACTATAAAAATAGTTAATGCTCACGGAACATTTAGTATAGGTCTGTCAGCACTGTTGTCCTGCTTCAAATATAATAATTCATTTAATTTTCTTAATGATCATATGAAATAAGATCTATTATTATTTTTCCCAATTTATGGGAGATGAAACTGAAGCACAGAGAATTTCAGTCACTGGCTCAAGATCACACAGATGGTAACAGGTGAAGCCATGGTTTGAATAAATGTAAAATCTTAACTGAAGGGTAAGAGATGCTACAGAGAAGCTGAACACTTTTGAATTAAGCATATAAGAAGCCTAACCACAAACAAACAAAAAATCCATGCTAGCCCTACATGGCGAGAACTGAAAAACATGCAAAACCCAACAGAATTCCCTTTTATTTAGGTCCTTCATATCAACTATATTTCTCCCTAAATGTCATCTCTTTTGTCCCCATCTTGAGACCAGAATACACACAGATCTAAGGCTTCTGTGAAGGTCTCAATCTTTCTCCAATTATTAGCAATCTCATTGTCAAAAAAGTCTCCTTATATGTGAAATTAATCATTGACTTTCTGACTTAAACCCATTTCCTCTTTTCTGATCTTTATTGGGTTTGGGAGACACATACTGGATGAAGGTAGTTAAAATTCTAATCACCTTTGGTTTTTCCTTTTTATTTAATAACTCATTTAAATGTACTTCTGCTAAATCCTATTTTAAAATCTCCCTGACATTAATTATTGATATATTCCCATCTTTCTGACAGGCCTACTTAAATGTACTTATGGTGAGTTTTCCCCTCTTACCTCTCCGTTTTCCAAGGGGTGTATCTTGGAATAAAAGGAAGTGCAGATGACCTCATCGTCTTTGGCATAGGATGGTGGTCCAGTGCGGGGATAAATATTGTAGAGAGTTAGACACTCGGTGTCTGTCACGGCATGATACTGCCAGGGATTGTATTCAACATTATCAAGCGAGCGTTCCAAAATCCAGTTTCCAGGCCGAGGGGAGTTTGCTGCTTTCACGATCACATATGCAATCTGGAACACCTGGGGAACAGTGATGACAACAACAGGCAACTTTGAATTCCAGAGTACTCGCACCATTTTTTAGCAAAGATAAAGCCTAATGCTACAGTAGATTTTATTTCAGATTTTATTCCATAACCCTATTATGTTCTCTGAAACGATTTTACTGTTACATGTTCATGTTTAATACCTTTACTAAAATGAGATGTTTCATCTTGACAGCTATGGCTTTCAAGGCAATGGGTTAAGATTTTAGGTCTCTAACAAATCACTGACATCATTTCATCTGATTTTTAAAATCCCATTATAATCATGATCACCTAAAGCCTTCATTACACAACAATTTACTCTCCTTACTGTGTTAGAAAGTATAAAGTATGAGTTAGAAATTCCATGTGTGGATAAGTGCTTGAGAGTTTAAAAAATATACTCACTTATATCACCTAATCCTCAGAAAAGTACCATGTAGGAGGAATTAGGTGCTGTTATGAAGAGCAAAAACAACATAATGACTGAGCTTTAGAGGCTCAGTCCTGTGTTCAAATTGTGGTCTAGCATTTATGCGACCTTGGACGATGATTTTACTTTTCCAACATTAGCTTCCTTTTCTACAAATTAGGGGAGGTAATAGGTACGGTACTGAGTGACAACTTGAGTCAAATGAGATAATGTATGCAAAGTACCTGGCAAAGGACTTGTAAATACTCAATAAATGTCAGTTATTCTACAACCCCCAAATGGAAAATAATGGAGAAGAAATTCTAGGGCCTGCAGACAACTGATTGAAACTGGAACATATTAAGTGAAGGGTGATTATACTTTCGGTAAAAGAAATAAACATGTATTTCTTAAAAAAGGAAAATAAAGAGAAAGACGAAGTTATTGTATGTCAGCAGAGTGACAATTAAGCAGAATGTGGCAAAATCCTTTATTTTGAAATCTACATAAAATATGAAGGCATAAAAAGTAAACATTCTAGATGTTTTTGTGATAGTGCATAACCAATGTAGTCCAAAAGAATAATGCACAAACATTATTGAGTGACATTTATATGCAATGCCCTAGGTAGAAAGATAGATATAAACTAGTTTAAATTACAGTCCTACCATCTATGGGTTGATAATATATTGCAATAAAGAGATACATAAAAAGTACACTAATAATAAAACAACATGATATGTTTTTGTTTATTAAATGCTATGAAATATGGGGAGCCTGAAAAAAACACTAAGCTCTGAGTAATTAGAATCACTGGAATGGTACAAGTGGGAGGATGGACCCACTAAAATGTGACTAAAGGACCCACTGGACAACAGAGGGAATTGTGAAATGTTCTAGAAATAAACTTCATCTGCTTCATAGTTTTGACATGAGACCTTCATGAATGCATGTACAGTGTCCATGGTAAACTCCAAGGGACCAAACTTAAAAATATGAAAACTTGGTACAGAAGGGGCAAAACAAATAGTTCTGATGCTGGGCTTTTGTGGTCTTTGCAAGAACATGGACACAGGTGTGCTGTGAGGGGAAACGTGAGCCATCAAATGACTGAAACTAGGGCTGGTATTGGCCTGTTAGGCACAGGTGTGGAGAAACTATTTATTAAAATTCTGAAATAAATTTCTGTACTTGTTGGTAAATCACTGCTGCCCAAGCCTCCCAAATGCCTCCTCTCCCGAGACCATCTTGTTAACCTCAGCATAACAAAGAAGAGCCAAGACATCTGCTCTGATTGGTCTGGGTTTTGACAGTTCTGTTTTATTGCCTATCAGTCCAGGTGGGAAATATTATAATTTATATTTACAAAGGAATACAGGAAAGTATAAGTACAAATTGACACATATATCTATGTAATGTATGTATGGGCTTTGATATTGATATTCTGAGGAAGGATATGCATGTACGTGTTAAAGCTATTACTACCTCAGAGGTTTGAGAATAAGGAGTCGAGGAGGAGGAGAGATTTGACTTCCCATCCAATATCCTGCTATATTAATGTATTAACATAAATCTCTTAGTTCTTAATAAAGTTATTTTTTAAAATAAAGAACAGTTAAAGTCAAATTCTCTCTCAGAGAAAGAATAAGAGTAGGAGTAAGATGGAACATACTCTATTAATCCTTATCCAAAGTATTTGTTTCTGCATTTTTTTGGTGTTATTCAGAAGGAATTATTTCTCTTAGACACTCCATATTCAACAACTGATGCACATGGAATTTTTTTTATAAATAAATTCACTGAGGAACATACCAATTGGTTAATCTGATACAACACGGAGATAGTTCTTTCGACTATAAACATAAAGCTCTGATCTCAATTTCTGGTAATCTTAAAGTATTCATGGCAAGGTTTATAAAATGATAAAAAAAAATATATAAGTAACTAAATTGTGAGCTCCTAAAGGGCAGAGACTAGAGTTTTTATAACTTTAAAGATATTACAATCCTTATTACAACACTTTTGAAATAGTGGGCATTCAATATTAATTACATTTAGTTGCATAAGCAGAGTCACTGCAACATACTACCGTGTTACTTCTATTAGCTTAATACTTTTTTTCCTGTTATATCTTGATTCCCAGTCAACACTAGCATATTTTTTCACTTGCAGGAACTACGACATACATTGTTTGGGTGTTCATCATATTATATGTCTCTATGAGCTGAGAAAATTACTTAAACTCTTTTACCCTTTGTTTCACAATGTTTATTTTCCAATGTCAAAACCATGGAAGACATAATAAGATGATGAAAACAAAACACTGCATGTTCTTTGGAAAAAGAATCTACATAAATATTTTAAATTAACGTGTTTCCATTCAGATAAAAAATGGCACACAGCTATTTTTTAAGATAGAAAACAAAAAGAAAAATAACAAAGCATAATTAGGGATCAGAGGTACCCAATAATAAAAATAAAGACACACTGAGGTTACAGATAAAGAACTTTGTTCAGAAAGCCGATCAGCAAGCAAATATAGGAAGAGGCCAAATTCTCTTTGAGCTACAGTGTGGATTTATGACTTCGAAACTTCTGTGTTGGCTCTGGAATAATAGATGAAATCCATGAAACAAAGTTATACTAGAAACCCCACAGATTCTTTCTATAATTCAATATAGCAGCCAGCACTAAGTGACATAGAAAAGCAGGCATTGCCTTAGAGAATATTAGAGGAGCCCCACTTCAAAATAATATCCCTCTTTCATTTATTTTCTATGGATTCTTTCACATTTCATGCAAAATTGATTAAATTAGTTGGCATGTAGTATTTTGAATAAACCTTTAAAAATGTGGTAGACAGCATTATTGAAAAACACAATGAATAGAAGCAGTCTTCAAAGGCATCAGGGAATGCTGTGAAAATTTTAACAGTGATGTTCTAAGTACAACAAAATTGTAATGACCCTCATAGAATAATTCTCTAATGTACCTATACCACTTGTATTAATTATGTCTTGTGTTTTCAGGATAAAGACTCATCAAAAATCAGTAATTATAAAACCTTTTTTTCCAGATGAACAAAACCCTAATCTGTGCTGTGCAACAAGAGCAAATGCCTCATTATAAGAAATACAAAAATGCTATGACAGTGAGGCTTCGACAAAGCTTAGATTGCAGCACACAATACCCCAATGTTTTTTTTTTTTCCTTGTCAGTGGGCATTTTTTATGAACTTCACGCCTTAAAAAAATCCAAATAACTTTTGAAAATAATATCAAATGTTTGACATTTTACTGTAACAAAGATAACCACTTTTTATTTCATATTCCATTCATATGTCACCTAGCAAAATATCATGTAATTACCTCACAGATGCAGCATTAATTTAGATGTTCCTTTTATCATGGGCAGAGTATTAAGAACTTGATCTCATATAGGGTGGAATTGGTAGACCAGAATCTTTCTGAAGAATCCTCCAGGCCCAAACTAACAAGTAACATGTGACTAACATATGTAGTGATGCTTTTTACTATCACAGCTGAGATAAGATGATATTGGAATAGCACTGGGGTGAAAGAGGAGACCTCACAGACTAAAGAGAGATACCTAGTAACTCTGGCTATTCTAGAAGCTGTCCTGTGCTGAATATCTCAGCTCACCTATAACCCATGTGGATAAGTCTGACATCTACAAACAATTTCTAACATGAATTGTTAGGTCGGGATTTTTTTTAAATACATTCTGCAATGACACTCAGGAATCCACTGTATCCCAGTTGCGTTGTGTTCAGAAGAATCACAGATCTAGGAAAATGCTACCAAAGAGTACTACATTTTGTGAATTTTATTGAGACTTTTGAGTGGCACTGGTATGCAGTTAAGAGAGCTAGGTCAAAGTATGGCTCCTTGAACACAGGCAGCAACCTCTTCGACCTCAGCCGTAGCAACTTCTTCCTAGAAACATCTCCAAAGGCAAGGGAAGCAAGGGCAAAAATGAACTGTTGGGACTTCATCAAGATCAAAAGCTTTTGCCCAGCAAAAGAAACAGTCAACAAAACTAAAAGATAACTGACAGAATGGGAGAAGATATTTGCAAATGACATATCAGATAAAGGGCTAGTATCCACAATCTATAAAGAACTTATCAAACTCAACACCCAAAGAACAAATGATCCAATCAAGAAATGGGCAGAAGACGTGAACAGACATTTTTCCAAAGAAGACACCCAAATGGCCAACAGACACATGAAAAAGTGTTCAACATCACTCGGCATCAAGGAAATCCAAATCAAAACCTCAATGAGATACCAGCTCACACCAGTCAGAACGGCTAAAATTAACAAGTCAGGAAACGACAGATGCTGGCGAAGATGCAGAGAAAGGGGAACCCTCCTACACTGTTGGTGGGAATGCAAGCTATGCAGCCACTCTGGAAAACAGTATGGAGGTTCCTCAAAAAGTTGAAAATAGAGCTACCCTACAACCCAGCAATTACACTACTGGATATTTACCCCAAAGATACAAATGTAGTGATCCGAAGAGGTACGCGCACCCCAATGTTTATATCAGCAATGTCCACAA